TTGAAATCCATCCATACAAGGGCTCTTTAAAACCTGATGGAGAGGCTGGCATTGCGCCACCATTTATGATGCTGGTATCTTATATGAATATGAGTCTCAGCTGTTCCACTTCTGATAGAGCTCCTTGCTATTGTGCCTGGGAAAGCAACAGAAGATGGCCCAAGTGCTTGGGCCCCTGTCACCCTCATGGGAGATCCAGATGGAGTTCCAGGCTCCTGGCTTCAGCCTGCCAGCCCCTGCAGTTGTGACCATTTGGGTAGTGAACCAGTCGGTGGAAGATCTCTTTCTTTGCATCCGCCCACCACCACCATCATTCTGCCTTTCAAACAAATAAATAAATCTTCGAAAAAAGAAACTCATGGAGTTGGCACTGTGCCATAGCGGGTAAAGCTGCTGCCTGCTGAGCTGGCATCCAATATGGGAACCGGTTCAAGTCCCAGGTGCTCTACTTTTGATGCAGCTCCTTGTTAATGTGTCTGGGAAGACAGTGAAAGATAGCCCAAATGCTTCCACCTCTGTACCCACATGGGAGAGTTGGAAGAAGCTCCTGGCTCCTGGCTTTGGCCTGACTCAACCACAATCATTGCAAGCACTTGGGGAGTGAAGCTGCAGATGGAAGACCTCTCTCTCTCTCTCTCTCTCTCTTACTCTTTCTCTGTGTAACTCTGCCTTTCAAATAAATAAATCTCCAAAAAAGAAACTCATAGAAATGTGTATTATAAAAAAAAAAAACTATGCTTGGGCTGCAAAATTTTGCACCCAAATAAACTTATGTTTTTCCCCCAAAGAAATATTTTATTTAGGGATTACAAACGTCATGCATTTCATAAATACAACTTTAGGAATATAGTGATTCTTCTCACCATACCCACCCTCCCACCAACACTCCTACCTCTCTTGCTCCTCTCTCTCCCATTCCCAGTCCCATTCTCCACTAAGATACATTTTCAATTAACTTTATACACAGACCAACTCTACACTAAATAAAGTTAAAGCTGCAGGAAGAGCCTGGAGGGAATTCAGCTTGGAGCTCTGTGGGGGATGGTGTACATGCCAAACTAGAGGAGAAAAAGTGGGGGTCACATTTCTCCCTCCCTAATCACCTTGCAATGGCATCCTGTAACAAGCTGATAAACTTATCTTTTAGTACTATTTTCCACGGACTTGCTGAATTTCTCTTGTACAGCTCTCCCAGCAACAGGATCCAGGTAAAAGGATATTTTCCCTATAAGCCATTTCCAGGTTTAGAAACGAATGTACTCTCAATTACTGGAAATTCCTGGCTTGCTAAATGTGACTGAACAAATGGCCAGAGCCCCTCTTTGATGGCAGAATGCGCTCCCTGCACAGAGGCTGCCAGAGCCCTGCATATTGGGACAAGTGGCCACGCCGTGCCTCTGCAGATTGACCCAGGCTGTGCCTGCATGTCCTGCACCAGCCCCTCTGGGAATACTGGATAATCAGGCTGTGGGAAGGTATTAGGACCCTTTCCTGCAGCAGGAAGGGAGAGAGGGAAAGAAACCAAATGATTTCACTTGTGCACTCTCTGCCAGAATCTGTGTTGGACCATAATGTTTACCATAATTATACTTCAGAAACCGTGCTGGCATTCTAGTATTTATGGTCATTTCACTTGCGACAACCTTATGGCAGATAAAAACCTTGCTTATGAAGTTCCTTGCTTCATCCTCAGTCTATAGATGAGGACCCTGCCAGACCCACACTGCGCAGATTTCATGTCCCTAACAGAGTCTGGCTCTGTGTCTGGCCCTAATATAGCTCAGCCTTTTATTCATGCTCTGATTAGAATTTCCAGATTAAATATTGGCCACTCAAATAAACTTGAGTTTATTTGAATGAACACTATTTTTTCTTCTTCTCTTAGTATGTGTGTGTGTGTTTCCTGTTGATATTCAAACAAATCACCATAAGTTTATGGCATAAAGCACAACAGCTCTATTATCTCACACGTCTGGAGGCCAGAAGTCTGAAAGGGGTCTCCCTGGACCACATTCAAGGCATCAGAAGAATCGCATTCTTTGGGGCCAGTGTCATGGGGCAGTGGTTAAGACGACACCTGCAATGCCAGCATCCCCTATGGGCACCATTTTAAGTCTTGGCTGCTCCACTTCCAGTACAACTCCCTGCTGATGCGCCTGGGAAAGTCGTGCAAGATGGCCCAAGTGCTTGGGCCCCTGCCATCCACATGGGAGAGCCAGATGAAGTTCCTGGCTCCTTGTCCAGCCCTGGTCATTGCAGCCATTCGAGGAGTGAACCAGCAGATGGAAGATCGCTCTCTCTGTATCTCCCTCTCTCTGTGTGTAATTCTGCCTTTCAAAGAAATAGTCTTTTTTTTTTTTTTAAAAAAAAAAAAGAGTATCGCATTCTTTTCCAGAGGCCCTAGAAAGAAACCATTACCTTGTCTTTCTCAGCTCCTAAGGCCACCCAGAGCCCTTAGCTCCTGGCCCCTTCCTTGCTTTCAAAGCCTGCAATGGGCAGTCAGCTTCTCACCCTGCATGGCTCTGGCACAGCCCATCCTGCCTCCCAGTTTACCATGGATGCCCCTTCTGCCTCTCTTGGGACTTCTCAGAGTGTCCAGGACAATGCTCTTATTCTTACCTTAGGTTGATGAGCTATTTTCATACCCATGGCCATGCAAGGTAACATATTAATACACAGCTCCTAGGGTTTGAGACTGGTCATTGTTGGAAAGTTTATTCTGCTTAGCACAATAAGTAGATCCCAAGTACTGCAAGAGACATAATTATACCAGAATGTATCTGCAGTTGGACAGGGTCTATTGAATTTTGCCTGCTCTCTGCCCCAGGATCCTTTTCTGGGAGCACACACCATTGCTATGGGCCAGGCTTCATGACACAACAGATCTGTGAGGCTAATGTCTTCCCAGGTACCTCTGTGTTGTCTGAATCCCATCAAGTTCAAAGACTTGGACCACCAGCACCTCTTCCACAGTTTACATGCTTGGTGCAGCTTCACAATCCTCCTGTCTGATCCCAGCATGTTTCATGGGGAAGCCAGGAAGCAAGTGAGGTCAGCACCCTACCTTGCCCAAGAGAGATGGACTCAGCCCTGAGGTCCAAATTAGGCAGAGCATGGGAAAGGGGACTGTCCCAGGAGGCGTGGTCAGAGCTCACAGGACTGGAACAACTGCATGGAGTCAGCTGCAATGGAGCTGGGCGGCAAGATGAGTGAGGAGGAAGACATGGGTGCAAGGTGCACAGTGGAGCATAGGTGGGAAGCTTAGGTGAGGAGGGGGAGGGAAGAGATGCAGGAGCCGGAGAAGGCCAACTAGTGGTGGCAATAAAGACAAATTAGGGCAGGAATAGAGACAGAGGACACTGCCACTGTCTGATCTGCACATGGGCGAGGAAGGAGCAGCTTCCTGTGTCCTAGGTCCCTACCTACCATGCACAGGAACCACACGGAAGACCCTAAGGGCAGGGCACTAAGGCCAGATGACCCACTGCAGGTGGGCAGACTCCTGAGATGCCCCAGATGGAGGGTTGCACTGCAGCTGCAGTGGGATTGCACACCTTCTGGTTACCTGGGCCCATTTTACCCCAAAGAAAAGTGCTGGCTTTACCTGACACAGGTAGTAGAGATCAAGATGCACACCTATGCCCTCTTCAGAAGCAGGACTCAGGGTATGAAAGGCATTCCCTGCAGAGCTGACCATGAATGTGTCAGCAAGGTCAGCACTGCATGGTGTCCTTTGGTGTCCTCTGTGAGGAGGCTGACACAGCAGGGAATTTTTTCCAGCATCAGACATGGCTGACACCGAGGTGAAATTGTTCCTTTCTGCCTGTTTTGTTTGAAATTGGTGCTATGCTTGCCCAACTGTCTCTCTCACATTTGCTTGCATTTGTCATCTGTGTGGCTTCAGGCCTGAGTTGAACCTTCCCTTCCGTCACCATCACCTCCTGCTTTCTCTGGCTTTGCAAAGCAAATCCCTGGGCATTCAACACCCTGGGAGCCTCCTTGAAGATATTCCCTTGGCCATTCTAGATAAACCTTGATGAACCAGAGTGAACACTGTGCAAGTCTCAGCCACCTCAAGGCTCTGCTACCCTCACCTTTCAGGTTAAAGAAGCAAGTCACACACTTCCATGCACATGCATGCACCATGGAGAGTTCATCTTAAGCTTGAAAAATCAACTCAAAGTGGAGACCTATGAATCTGAATTTTAAACAGGTACCTGGGTGAATCTTCTGGAAAGTTTGGGAAACACCAAATGGGTCAATGAAATAGGAGAAAAACCAGCTAAACCCTCCTTGGAAGAGTTTGATGCACCTTATGTCATCACTGTGTTCTATCCCCATGATAAATCACTAAATCTGAAGTATTACTTGGTTTCGACCACTGAGGTATAAGGAAAGGTATACTCAGAAGTTTTACATCATTTGTCAATTCAGGCCTCAGGCTCTCAGCACCATTCAGCCAAGGACCTTGCAGACATACTTGCCAAGGGGCACAGAAGTCAATGAACCCAGGGGCCAGTGCTGTGGTGTAACGGGTAAAGCTTTCCCATTAAGTGCTGCATCCCATATGGACACCAGCTCAGGTCCTGGCTGCTCCACTTCTGATCCAGCTCTCTGCTATGGCCTGGGAAAGCAGTAGAAGGTGGCCCAAGACCTTGGCCCCTGCACCTGTGTAGGAGACCTGGAAGAAGCTCCTGGCTCCAGGCTCCTGTCTTCGGATTGGCAAAGCTCCTGCCATTGCGTCCACCTGGGGAGTGAACCAGTGGATGGAAGATCTCTCTCTCTCTCTCTCTCTCTCTCTCTCTGCCCCTGCCTCTCTGTAACTCTGCCTTTGAAATAAATAAATAAATCTTAAAAAGTCAATGGGCCCTTTGATCTTCCAAGTCTGCCTAGGAGTCCTGCAGCATTGAGCCCCACACAGTGGCAGCCGTGGCCAAAGTCTCCTTACAGTGGCTTTCACCATCTCTTTCCCCAACTTCCCCACATCCACATCTTCTTACCTGAAATTCTTCCCCAAAATAAGCTGCCTGCATGTAGACTATTGCTTCAGAATACACTTCTTGGAAGTCTAAGCTCGGATAGTTATTTCTTTCTAGGTTTTAAAGTTTCAAACAGACTTTTTTTTAACTGTTTGAACACTAGTTTTACCGTTAATTCTCATAGTACGACACATTAAGGACAGAAATCCTATATGGGGAGTAAGTGCACAGTGACTTCCATTGTTGATTTAACAATTGATATTCTTATTTATGACATCAGTAATCACCCGAGGCTCTTCTCATGAGCTGCCAAGGCTATGGAAGCCTCTTGAGTTCACAAACTCTGACCTTATTTAGAAACAGACATTTTTTAAGATTTATTTATTTGACAGGCAGAGTTGCAGACCTAGAGAAGGAGAAACAGAGAGAAAAGTCTTCCATCCACTGGTTCATTCCCCCAAATGGCCGCAATGGCAGGAGCTGGGCAGATCCAAATCCAGGAGTCAGGAGCCAGGAGCTTTCTCTGGATCTCCCACGTGGGTGCAGGGGCCCCAGCACTGGGCCATCTTCCACTGCTTTCCCAGGCCATTATCAGGGAGCTGGACTGGAAGTGGAGCAGCTGAGACTTGAACTGGTGCCCATATGGGATGCCAGTGCCACAGACAGACTTAGTCTAAGGCACAGTGTCAGACTTTAGATGGAAGAGCTGAAGCATCTGTCTGACGATGCCATGGGCATTTTCCCCTGGGTTCTGCCTGTGGCAGATCTGGAGTCCTAGAGCAGCTGTATGATTTCTGATGGCAGCTTCATCCCTCAGTGTCATGCATGGTGATCACTCCTGTTTGTGATGAACAGCGTTGGTGGCTTTTCTGTAGACTGCGAGAGACTTGAGGCACATTCCTTTACTGATTTCTGTTTGCAAGGCTCTCTATGAGCCAGACTCTGTATTCATAGCTGGTAAACCAATGGGCAGAAACAAGGGGTTAATCCCTGAGTTAGGGTCTCATTCAGGCTCATGCCCTCCCCAGCTTAGAAAGTGTGGATGCCACAGTTCACCTCCAGTCCTGCTGCTGTGTCTCACATCTTTCTGCACCCTTGCACCCTGAGTCTCCATGGGATCACCATCCTGGCCCCCAGCCACCATCTCCTTCCTGGCAAGGGCTCTGACCTCTTCTCTAAGCTTCTGATACTTTATAAGTGACCTTTGGGGGAAAGGGTTGGTCCAAATTTACCTGGTGCCCAGGCTCAGGTAAATTGAAGTTGAGGCAAAAGTTACAATTTGAATTAGTCTAGTGTGTGTAACTATAACAAAATACCTGAGAAAAGAGGTTTATTTCACTCACAGTTCTGGGGTACCACAGAGTATGCTGCTGGCATCATCTTCTGGTCGGGGCCTCCCGACAGGTGACATCACAGGCCAGGAGTAAGTGAGTTTAGGCGTTTGGGTGTGTGTGTGTGTGTGTGTGTGTGTGTGTGAGAGAGAGAGAGAGAGAGAGACCAGATGGCAAGGAAGGGAATGAAAGACTGAGCTAAGAAGGCTCAACATGCTGTATAATAATCCACTCTTGCAGTAGCTAATCCTGTCCTTCAAGAACTAATCCACATGCTCAATCCGACTTGCCAAAATGGTAGAGTTGGAAACGTACCAGGGGATTCCAGTTCAATCCCATCAAGATTGCATGTACCAATGCCATCTCACTAGTCCAAGTGATCAGTTTCAGTTCACAATTGATCATAATGATAGGTTTAAGAGTCAAAGGGATCACATAAACAAGACTAGTGTCTGCTAATACTAACTGATAGAATTAAAAAAGGAGAGAACGATCCAACATGGGAAGCGAGATAAACAGCAGACTCATAGAATGCCAGATGTCCTAAACAGCACTCTGACCTCAGAATCAGCCCTTAAGGCATTCAGATCTGGCTGAAGAACCCATTAGAGTATTTTAGGCATGGAAAGCCAAGACACTCTGGCAAAAAAGAAAAAAAGACCTAAATGAAAGATCTCTGCAAGTGAGATCCCAGTGGAAAGAGTGGGCCATCAAAGAAGGAGGTACCTTTCTCTGAAGGGAGGAGAGAACTTCCACTTTGGCTATGACCTTGTCTGAATAAGATGGGAGTTGGCGAACTCAAAAGGCTTCCATAGCCTTGGCAACTCATGACAAGAGCCTAGGGTGATTACTGATGCCATAAACAATAGTGTCAAATTGTTAAGTCAGCAACAGGAGTACTGTGCACTTACTCCTCACGTAGGATCTCTGTCCTTAATGTGTTGTCCAATGTGAATTAATTCTATAACTAGTACTCAAAGAGTACTTTACACTTCGTGTTTCTGTATGGGTGCAAACTGTTGAAATCTTTACTTAATATGTACTAAATTGATCTTCTGTATATAAAGATAATTGAAAATGAATCTTGATGTGAATGGAATGGGAGAGCGAGTGGGAGATGGGAGGGTTGCAGGTGGGAGGGAAGTTATGGAGGGGGAAAAAGCCACTGTAATCCAAAAGCTGTACTTTGGAAATTTATATTTATTAAATAAAAATTTAAAAAAAAAAGATAAGTAAAAAAAGAAAGAACTAATCCAAGCTCAAGAGAACTCATGCAGTCTCAACAAAACCATTAATCCATTCATGAGGATGGCTTCCTCATGACCTCAAATGCCACTTCAAAGCCCACCCAGCTTGACACCATGAATTACACCTCACATTTTGGAAAGTTCTGATAGGAGAAGCCGCATCCAAATCACAACACGATGAATGTGGTCACACAGTGCTGAGTGGCTGGGGCTGCACTGCCCTCCTCCCTCCACACCCAGGTACACACCTCCTCCCTTGAGAGCAGGAAGCCACAGAGCCATCAGCAAAGGCAGAAATGCATCATTCCTCCTCGTCAGGATGTGCAGAATGATGCAGATACTGACTGGGCCGTCTTTCATTTTTCAGGAAAGATGCATCAGTCTCGGAATTTTGAAGGTCATTGCCATGACTGCCTTCCTGCAGATGCCCACGCTGTCTGGACAGAGGCCTGTGCTCCTCACAGACAGCTGTGTATCCGTCCTCTCAGCTTCCTCTGCACCCTGGCTCATTAGCTTGCTCGGGTTCTCCCTTCTTATCCTCAGAGGACTTCTGTGGGGGAGTGTGGTGGCCAGGGTGACATCGCAAAGGTGCCTGATGGCTCAGTACGTGAGGAAGCCTGCTCTATGGACATGGACTGGTGGCTGTGCTGGTGTTCGGCCCACATCTGAGGTTGCTCAGGGGAGTTCTAAGAGCTCTTTCCTCTTCCCACTTCTCTCAGCCATGAGAAGTACTGGATACAGGCCTCCTGGAACTGGCCAGGCCCCAGCCTCGTCTGTACAGATGTTGTGAGGTTGTTTCTGCAGGAAAATTTCTTAGAACTGGTGGGAAGAGAAGGGTCGCACTGGACCCAGCCTAGGTGCAAGATGGAGCATACGCACCAAACGTAAAATGAAACTTCAGTGACCCACTTCAGCAGCTACCCCAAGCCCCAAGCCTGAGCGGGGACAGGAAGCATCACTGGGTGACAAGCAACACTATGACATGCCTTCCACCCCTTTCTGGAGCCCTGAGGATTGTCTCATGTTCCCTCTGCCATGCATGTGCCTGCTGTGGCTTGAATGTCTGTGTCCCTGCCAATTTCATATTGAAAGGCTCTCCAGTGTAGTGGTGTCAAGCGCTGGGACCTTCAGGAGGTGTGATTAGCCTATGAGGGCTCCTCCCTCGGGAATGGGATTGAGGCACTTGTAGAAGAGGCTTCGGCCCAGGGTTTGGCTTTTTTGGCCTCTCCACCTGCTGCCCTGTGAGGACACAGAGCACAAGGAGCCATGTTCAAGCAGAGTAGCCCTCAGCAGCTACCGAATGCACCAGCACCATGATCTTGGGGCCCTCAGCCTCCAGAACTCTGACAAACGTCTGTTCCTTATAAGCTCCCCTGTGACAGGAGCACAGAGGGGTGAGGGCAGGGCCTGTGCCCGCCCCATGAGTCCAGAGGTGGCATCCTGCAGCCTCCTTCCTGCCTTCAGCTAACAGAATGACTTGGCACCAGGAATACCTGTGTGTCGTGCTAGGGGTCAGGATGCACAGTGCACTGCAAATAATTGAAGAACCTGCAAAGAGGGCCTGCAGTCCTCCTCCCAAACCCATGTGGGGGCTTCCCTTGTGACTTTGCACCTGGTCTCTGGCTTGGTACAGAGACCCCATTTCCTCACTTCCTGAGGGACTCAGCAATCTCCTTGAGGTAGGCTGGGAAAGCAGGCAACCAAGGCTGTGATAATCACACCGGAAGCAGAACAGACAGACACAAGGGGCGAGGAAGGTGAGCAAAGCACGCAGCCTGCAGTGCATGGTTGTTGTCACGGCTGCCATCCTGACAGTCAAGGTTTTCTAACCACATGACATCTAGGTAAGCGTGACATTCTTACCAATTTAGGCCCTAGGTCGGCAGTAGCATTCAAAGACCACTACAAAACTGCTGACACAGCCAAGCTGAGTGTATCAGACCACCATGTTACAGGACAATGCCACTTAAACAGAATCCCAGTGGCATCTCACTAAGGGGACTCCAGGGAGAGTATTTTGCAGGATTTCATGTGTCAGCCAGGTCACTCTGAGATGGGCCTTACAAGGAAGGGAACTGGTTGGGATGGGAAAGCGTTTTCGCATAGTAGATTTGGATCCAGAGGCACAGATGGACGAGGATCATGAAGTGAGTAATGGCATGTCAGGCTGTCAGCGTTGATAAGAAAGCTATTTGGGCATGGCTCCCAGGCTTATCGTCCAGGAACAAGCCCTGTTTAAAGCAAAGCAGGTGAATTATTTTTGCTTGGTCTAATATTGTGTAGCACAGGAACCAGGAAGTATGCTAATTACAGTTCTCAGGCACCAGATGTAGCTTTCTGAGAATCATTCTTGGGGCAATTAAATGAAAAGCGAGAATGCTGTAGAAAGTGGGACGCATTCTTCAGGTAACAGACCTGTGCCAGTGACAGCTCTTCACATGTTAACGTTAGGCAAGGCTCATGTCCTAACCTTTGTTTATCTGGTCCTTTCAGTGGCCAAATAAGACAGGGGACTTGTGTTAAGTGCTCAAAGGGCATCCATCTGGTAAGGAGCAAAGTTCCTTCTGAAGCTAACAAGGTGTGCTAATTTTAAGTCTCCAGAGCCTCCAGCTAGGCACCACTTTGTGCAAGTTCCATCTC